AACCCCCTGTGGGATTTATTATCAAATATCTGACCAATATGTAGGTTGATGGCAGCTTTGAAATGTTTTATTCTCCAGTTTCAGCTAAAGGACCCCTGCTGTTGCTTGGATCCCAGTTTGTGAACCATGGACTCACGCGACTTGGCAGAGCCTTATTTGAGTTTGGGACAAGCAAGGTGCTTGTGTGTGTGCCACAGATAGCGTGTTCATTTAATGAGTGAATAATATCCCTGCTGCATGTCCAATGAACTGTGGGTTGGAGGCATGAAGGGGTGGGGGGGGGGCTGGTGGTAATACAATAGGAGCGTTAGGGAGTGTGGGAACCGATTCTCCGGGGGACAATAGGCACTTCCCAGTGGCCACAGTGTAGCCATTCACTATCAGCTGCTGGGCCGGCGTAGCGCGGCGCTGAATCTGCACCAGCTCAGCATAATGCTGCGTTCTCCCAAACAAGACCAGACTGTTTCCTATCCCAAAGACAACACAGTCCAGCTCTAGCCTACACACTGCCCCATTCTCACATAGGCAGCTTCTTTCTCCCCGACTCCATGTCTCTGCCGCTTTCTGGTGCTGTCACAAACGGCAGTATGAGCAGGAGGACGGGGAGCGACAAGGCCGGGGATTGTGAAGACTGTGGCTGCCATGCTGTAACTAGGCCACTGTTATTCCACTGTATGGGGGGAGATATTCTGGGCTGAAAACATTATTAGTGTAACCCAGTTTATCCATCACCAGGTGACTGCAGGAGGAGGTACATCTCCACAGGGACACAGGCTTTCAAGGACAATGCATGGGGGGGGGGGGTTGAGATAGAAGAGCTAGAATGGAGGATGGAGAAGCAACCGCTGGCAGGTGTGAACCTGAAATATTGAGATTGCCTGTGTGCTCCGATATGACCCAAACTTTAGCCCGGACCCAACCTTTCCTTATGTGAACATGTCCTCCGGTTACTGTAGCAACAGAGCCTGAGAACCTCCATGAAAAAAAACAAGCTGTACAGATCTGGGAGAGCGAACGGGACAAGCGTGAGAGTTTTTCTGCAACTTCACAAACCCACAGAGCTGGTGTCTGTCGGCAGCGATGACATAACTTTGGCTTCCATTTTTTTTCCCAGACACTCGCTCTAAACACTTCCTGTCTGACTGCTACCTAATTAAACACATTTGGTTTTCTAAGGATTTTCACTAAGAAGCTTTGTTTGGCTCTCAGTGGATGCAAGAGAAATGTAAGAAACAATTTGAGCGAAGCAAGAAGAGGAACATAGAAAGAGCACAGAGAGCTGATAGCTATCAATAGACTTGCTTATCAAGTTATGGCATCTCTTGGGCTTATTTTGCTATTTTTTTGTATTTGCTAGTAAACAAAGACCTTTTTAAAGATTTCTACACAGTTACCATAACAGTACCACATGACTAAAATGTTCTGCATGAGCAGGATAAGCAAACAGGGAAGAGAGCAATAGACACTTTTACGTCTAAACAATGGGGTCAAGTGAGGTAGCAATGTGGTATAAAAGTGTGAAAAGAAAGAGGAAAAGTCCAAAATCACATCCAAGTAAAAAAAAAAAAAAGCACTAATAATATACATACAGGAGCGAATCCCGTCTAATGTCTAGGACAGCGAGTCAATCGAAAATTTCCAATACAGGTACCAGACGATACGGGGACAGGTTGCTAGTTCATCGCAGGGCAACACAGAGACAAACAGGACAAACAACCATTCACACACACTCACACCTAAGGAGAATTTAGAGAAGCCAATTAACACAACATGTTTTTGTACTGTGAGAGGAAGCCTGAGTATCTGGAGAGAACTTACGCATGGACAGGGAGACCACGCAAGCTCCATGTAGTAAGACCCTGTGCATATTAAACTAAAAATCTTGACTTTAGGTTTTAACTCATATTTTACAATTCTAAGTACTTATCTTACATTTGCAAACAGTTGCAAACAAGTGACAAGTCAGTGGTTAATGCTCACTGTAACATATTAAAGACCTTTTTACTTAGCAGTTTTTCTTCGAAAAGAAAACATGTCTTCTTTCTCAGCACGCCCGCTCCTGATGGTGTCTTCTAGGGGTGTAAATCAAACCCATCATGGCGATTCCATTCAGTATCAATTTCCTGACCCAACAATTTGATTATTTTCGATATTAGAATCCGCCATGTCTGTCTTGCCTACTGTTTACGTGAGTGTGCGTGTGCAAGCGGAAAGAGGGTAGTGGCTAAAGGAAGCAAGGTAGAAGGACAAAACAGGTTTAGCACCACCGCCGGAAAGGGAGTCAGAATTGTGTCCAGGAGCAAATGGATAAAAATAGATGGGAGGGGAAAAAAACAGAACACATGAATCGATACTCTTGAGGACGTGTCGATACATCGGATCGTCTGCTGTTGGATCAATGCATCGATACGAAATCATTATTTACATCCCTAGTGTCTTCAGGAGTAGAAAATATACGCTCTCAGGGTTTGGAAGATGCTCGCACAGAGAGAGATACCTGGTTGCCAAATTGGTGCACCTATTAAGTTGCAGTGATGCTAACAAATGTTAACTTTCATGTTAAAGACGAGTCCGGTGGTGGAGAATTTGAATCAATCCGTTATGATTTTGTACTGTTCACAGGCTGCTGAGAGCAGGCTGGCTGTGGTGCACTCTTAGAGATCGGGTTAGGCGCTCAGTTACTCGGGAGGAGCTTGGAATAGAGTGTTGCTCCTCCACGTCCACAGGAGCCAGCTGAGGTGGCTCTGGCTGTTCCGGATGCCTCCTGGTCACCTTCCTTGGGAGGAGTCCCAAACATGTCCTACTGGGAGGAGGCGTTATGGAAGGCCAGGACACGCTGGAGAAACTATGTCTCTGAGCTGGCCTGGTGTCGCCTCGGGGTCCCGCCACAACAGCTGGAGAAGGTGTGCATGGATCAGGAAGTCTGGACATCTCTGCTTAGACTGCTGCCTCTGAGACCCGGCCCCGGGTCAGAAAATGGACGGATGGATTGTGTCCATAAATGTTTATGGTTTATATTTTTAGAGTTGTGTCTTAATCACTCCTTTAAGTCGGTTATTATTTGAGCAGATGGCATATTTAGCAGTCTGCTTAATTACTCTAGGTAACAATCCAATTTGATTGCCAAATTAGTTAATCAGATCATTTCAATAATCAATTATTCCAATTTATCGTTTCTGCTCAATTTAAAATGTTAACCAAAACCTTCATCATTTATTCTGCAAAATAAATAGTGTATCTTATATCAGTATTTTTTTGTTGTTGTTTCATTTCGTTTTTTTAAACGATGCAACCTTATTTGTCCGTGATGTAGATAATTGTATATGAGAGTAGAAAGAAATAAGGAAGAGCAGAATTGTATAAAAGTTTCAAAGTAGATTAATCACAGAACAGAATAATTTGAAGTAGTGTTTCATTTCCCTAAAAATCTACTGGGTAAGCAGGACAATTCAGGTCAAACTGACCCCTCTGAACAAACCTCTATGGGTCATTACTTTGACCTGGCAGTCATGAAATCAATGCAGGCTCAATTGTTTTGGGCTGTTTCTTCTCCACTGACAATATAAACAGACAATATTCCACAGCTTACAAACATATATGCTAAAGCAGCAGGCAGCTGTTATTCTTATATATTTTTCTGAGGTCCACATTTGTGTGACCAATTTTTCTATAAATACCAGAACTTCCCCATGGTGGGACAATAAAAGGACTTTCTATTCTATTCTAAAAAGAATGTGTCATGGTTGTTTATTAACATTTGCATTTATTGGTGTTTTTTTCCTGTAAGATGCATTGGATTTGACCTGACGTTAGCGCATAACCTGACATTTAGTTTATTAAACTCAAACATGTGATCTGTCCTCTGTTAGATTTGCAAGTCATCAGATGAATGGACCAGTGGACCAGGACATACCCTTCCTGCATAGTAAGGGACGGAGCTAGATGGGGGGGCCAGGGGGGCCCATGGCCACCCTTAGCCAATCATTGGCCACCCCTGTGGCCACCCCTACCATTTATTTCCCTCTAATACAGATGGTGGCAGCAGTAATACTATCAAGAGGAATGTTTAATCTTATTAAAAAATGTAATTTTTCATATATTAATAGTTACTGGACAACTGAAACGCTGTGGTTAATTATGCAAATCTAAATACTAACATTATAGTTGATATGAACAGAATTCATGCTCCTTTAAGACCCTAATTTTGTGTTATATGGGGTAAAGAGAAAATGATGTGTCTCTGCAAGTCATCAAGGAGTTTTCAGTGAAATTATAGATAAATAAAATGGAAAAGATGTTTGCCCCAGACATTTTGTCCACTATACCTTTATTTTATAATTTTTTTTGACAGCATGGATGTTTAAATATATGCATCTATTTGCAATCAAAAGGAAAATAACAGGAACGTATAGTTTGTCTTTATTTAGAAAATATCCATATTTGTTGTGCTCGTTCCTGTAACAGTGTAGATGGACCCTTAGGTTCTAGCGCCTTTCTGCTTTCGGACACCCCTCAGTGTACATTGGTTTTTGACTGGCCACCCCTATTAATGTTTTCTGGCTACGCCTCTGTGCATGGTGCCCATGTTTTGACCTGCCTAACTGGGTAGAACATGGGCACTATGTTAAGACTATGCTCAGTCATAATCTAAATTATGGTTCAATTATGACAACTGAAAAATTATTGCTTTATGCAGCTCAGATTTACAACGATTAGGCGTTTTAATTCCATCATAAACTGCTACCAGGTGACTGCAGAGTCCAACACAGGGCGTCCATTCAGACAAAGATATCCAAAGTGTTGATGTTTTATTTAACCACGACTGTCCAGAAATGATCCATTTACACAAGCCGGGACTCAGACAACATTCAGCATCTTTACATTTTGGATCTGCAAACATTTCCCTGACAGTTGTGCAGAGCTATGGATGGACTTCAGCATTCACTGTTCTTTACAGCATGGTAGCTGCCAGCCCAGACATCATCGACATCTCCTCCTACCTGCATGGAGTCCGCGCTGATTATTTCTCCCTGAAGGCGCTTTCCGAGCTCGATTGCTAGTTTGGACTTCCCGGTACCGGTAGCCCCCAGAATAACAACCAAGGAGGGCACCATCGCTCTCCGAAAGACACATTTCATGCTCACACCGGAGGCCGCCATGATGCTGCCTCCTGAGCTCAGCTGACATTTCCACGCATGCGCAGAAACAGGACTGGGAGGGGATACGGCGGTTGCTATAGCGACACTGGTTAATTAGAGAGAATTTCTGAGAGTTTTATCTTTTATTTCCATATATTATCTCAGAAATAACATTCTCATTATCTTTTTGACATTTCAGACTCTCTAATGTAAATTTAATTTGACAAATCCAACCGTTAATTTATTTTAATTCTCATTTTTATTTTATATATACAGATTTTTTGGCTGTATTTTAGGTTACAAAATTGTTTACCTTGACTTGAGAAAGGATTGGTATAGTCAATTTATCACGTGTTTGCCCAATCTGCTTTATCAGAGCGTCTTGAGGCGTGGTAACTATGGAAACTGTTGACGTAGCTGAAGCAATGAGGCTGGACGCATGTTGCCATGGCAAAAGATGCTGGGACCGGTTGCCTGGGAGACGGTTGGAAAACAAATGTAGATCGTTTGATGGAGCGGAGTATAAAATATGCTAATGGGGTGCAATTTACTGGTAGTATATTCTGTTCATGTTTCACATGGTTGTTATTACATCTTTTTTTTCTCATCTCACAGAAAGACTTTTTCAAAACGCTTAGAACTACTCCCCCCCCTTTTTAATTCTCATTTTGTCCTTTTTACTTTCTTGATACATTTTGTTCTCCAAAGACATTGCAGTAACGTGTATAATTAGAATTTAAAATGTGTTTGTTTTTTTTTTTGTGTTCCAAATTACTTTGACCAGATTATGGCAAATCTATGAAACACACTCTAATGTTGCAAAATTAAAGACCATACAGATGATTAAAAAAAGGTAAAAACAGTGCAAAAATTAAAATTTGACAAACCATTTCTATTTTTATTTTCATAGAGAATTACATAAAAAGAAAAAAAAATGCTGAGACAAAGCTGTAAGATCAAACTGGAGCTGTTCTTTGCAATTCAGCAATTGATTCTCTGATTATAATTATTCCAGTTTTACAACAGCTAAAGAATGATTTAAAAAAAATCTAAAATCTGAGGTTCTTTCAGCTCATAACCCCATCATTTGAAGTTTCCCCGACTAATGCTAAAGCAGAGCATCATCATGGTATTAGATCCAGGCCCACTACCGTTTTTTCATGACTTGTGGGGCAACAGATAAGCCTAAGTTTTTGATATCAGATGCTTCTTGATCTTCAATAAAAAAAAAAAAAAAATTTATATATATATAATTGCTATTTACAACACAATGTCATCTCAAGGCACTAAACAGGGAGAGTTAAATCAGATTGGTTAAAGTGTTCTATCAAAGGAAACCAAGCTGACTGCATCTACTATCCCTTTGCAGAATTAGCTTCTTCCTGGTTCCAAGGATTTGGTCTGATGTTGGAATAAATAGGGTATAGTCAGACTCTACTTGATCTGCATCAGACGTACATCATTGGCGATTTGTACGAATCTTAGAAAAGTCATAACGGTCTGATCTTGTTTAAAGAAATGGCAACTCCAAGCTGTTAAACAGGAAGCAAGTTTCAGTTCCTGTAGTTGAAGTCATGTCCAAACTTCTCTTAGCGAGTCAGGCTAGCAGCCCCTTTTTGTAAGAGTCCAATTGAGCTTGGATCATCTCCCTCACTAGCTTTAATTTAAGAAGGCCCTTCACTTTGAGCCGTGAAAGATTTTTATACTACAACTGATGACCAATTTATTTTAACCTCATTTTTTATTAGAGATCCTAGACTATGCCTAAAACATGGATTTCCCCCTTAATACCACACAGCAAATACTTTGTTTCCATCTATTAGATTTAGTAGTTATAAACTTGATTTAAAACATGGCAGGTTACAGTTTAAACGTCTCCATCTGATCCAACTCTAAGGGAGAACTACTGATTGGAAAGAAAATGCAAGCTTCAGATATAAAATAGGTACTAGCGCTCACTGAACCACATATGAATACCATAGAAAACTTTTATTGAAATTTACTTTTGATGGAAAGATAACCCAGTTAAAGTAAAAAAGAAAGTAGAGTGACAACATGTTTGCAATCAAATTTCAGTGTTTTATTTTAATTGTTTTTTTCTCTTTTAAAATTTTATTAACAAAAATAGAAGCTTTGAGTCATCTCTGAAAAGCCAGCAAGCCCAAAAGAAACTGGATGAGAAAACTTAGACAGCTCAGGTTTTGGTTTCAGGAGGACTGTACAGTCGAGGATCTATTTACAGAACATCCAGCTGGATAACGTACAGACACAGAAAGGCTCCTAAAGGCATTCCATCGAATGAAATCAGACAGCAAGATGAAATAAATACAGCTGGAAACTCAAGATGGTATCTATGAATCAATCTGTTAATTCACCGTTTGGCTGGTCTTCATGGCACAACAATCAATCTGAAATTTAGACTCTTTATAAAAGAAAATCTGAGACATTGACCATTTTTCCTGCATAATTACAGCAAAAACAAAAAGGCTCCAATGGGAACTGATTTGCTGCACCAACATGCAGTAGTGAAATACTTCAGTAATGAGTTTTAATCAAGGGTGGAGCTCAAACTTCTCTCTCAGGCCTGAGTCAAGAAAGAACCAACTACTGTAAAGAACTGTATGAAGGAAACTGAAAAGGGGGGAAATTAAAGGTTAGTGGACACCAATTCAGAAATGAGGGCAAAGTTTTGAATTCAGACGTTCTATACCAGAGACTAAACAGTTCGCCATAAAGGAGGCTGGGTTATCAAAGCACAGTAGTTGACAGAGCAATTTAGGCCAATTTGCATCGCTCGCTTAACGGTTGGTTTTATTATAGCAAGTTTTAATTGTTCTCCTTGCAGGTAGGCAGAACAAATATTAAGTGACCACGAATATAATGCCTGCAAGAGCGACTCGGATCGATCCCTTGCTGGCCATCCAGACAGCTCTCATCATTCACAAGCTGATGTGCAAAAAAAACAAAACCAAAACAAAAGGCAAAATGAAAAAACAAACTAAAGTCCACCTGCTCTATTCCCGCATGACCAATACAAAGTGATCAGTGTTTTTCCTCCTCTCCTTTTAGTCCCATTAGGTTCAGTGTTCTAGTAAAGTGATGGCTGACTCCGCCCCTCAGGAGCGTTTGAGCTGCGCCAGGCGCTGCAGCAGCTGGAGCTGCCGTGCCTTCAGCTGCTTCCTCTCCTGGGTCTTCTGCCTCTCGGCAGCGTGGAGCTGCTGCAGGTACTCTGTGGCCCGGGTCAGGATGGCCACCTTGGGGGTTTTGGGGCAGTCCGCCAACCCAGGGATCTCGTCCCGTAGCGATAGGAAGCGTGATCGCAGGTCGTTGCGTCGCTTACGCTCCAGGAAGTTGTGCGCCTTTCGCTTGTCCGTGTCCTCGCAGTCCGAGGACTGGGGGCTGGACAGGTGAGAGGGGGGCTTTGAGTACGAGCTTTGGTGGGAGGAGGAAGAGGAGGAGCCGGGTGGGGACGAAGGCGATGAAGACGAGGTAGGCGAGGACGCGTGGAGGTTAGGGGATTCGGATCTGAGTCCGACCGCTGTGGTCTGAGACTTTCTGCTGTCCGCGTTCAGAGGGGCGTGGCCAGGCCGGGGCTGGTGGTGGTAAGAGTTCTGGTAAGGCTGGGTCACAGGAGCAGGGGCCTCCTGGCGAACCTTTTTCCGGGCGGGCTCGGGAGCAGCTGGGAGCGTGTCCGGGGAGGGGGCGGCGTAGTTGTGCTGCTGCTGATGGATAGAGATGTGGAAACGCTTGGTTCCAGGGTCGTGGGGGTCTGCTCGCACCGTGATGGTGACCGGTTTGCGGGTGGTGACCAGTCGGCGCCGCTTCCGCTGCTGCTTGTGGTCCACCGTCACCACATCAATCTCCTCTTCATCCTCATCATTCTCATCTTCTTCATCTAAACAGGAAAACAAAGGAGATGGAATTAAATAAAAAAAAAAAACAAAAAAAAAACAAAGAGAGCAGAAGTAAATGAGGTGTGAGAAACAGAAACCTGTGGATAAAAACATCCTAAATCCAATTCACTTCTGTTTAAAATGAACTTTAAAAAGGAACGCTGATCATGTCCCCCACACACTGTAGAGTCTCTGCTTTAGATCAGCACAAATTCCCTCGCTTCATTCATGTGTTGACTGTAGGGACGGCACAGAAAGGGGGGCTTTAAGCTTGTTAAAACAAGCTGCCTAATGTTAAACTAGGCATGATATTGGAGACCTTTCCCACAATGCATTCGGGAATGGAAAGAAAACAATCTCTTAACTTGATTCTAATGAGAAAATCTAAATAAATATATATTAAATAGTAAAGTTTTTCTAAATAAACTAGTAAAGTTGATTCGTCTACAAGATTTCCCGTAGCTTATGGAGGTTCTAGCAAATCATCACTGAGATCCAATCCCCTAAAAAGTGATGAGACACACCTCCAGCTTCATCCTGGGGAATTCCACGGGGCGAGCTGACCTAAAAGGCTAATCCAGCTCTATTCAAAGCCCTGGCTGGCTCGGATCGCTCACACACGCGCACACACAAACGGAAACAATTGTAGCTGCAGCCTGTTGAGCGTAGGAATGCAGCAACAAGCTCCCTTTGTGACATTCCACACACCGTTACGCAGCCCAGACCCCCTCTGATCACATGGCAGCCCACATACCACAGTCAGTCATATGTGTGCCAATAAGGGAATCTTCAGAAAAAGCAGAACTTGAATGAAGGAAATATTTTGACCCAAGGAAGCACAGGCTGGTTCATGCCGATCTTATTTTTTTTTTCGTAAGATAGTTTTAAAGGAATAAAAAAAAATTGTCTTAATATATATGGATATGCACCTATTGCTGCAAGCTGCCTGTCAGCAGGCTGAACGACTTATACTCTTTTTTTCATTTAAAACGGGAAACTAATGTTGGTAAATATCCAACTGTAAACAGAGATGGCAATTACTTTAATGAGAAAAAAAAAGATCCCTCCAACTGGTATATTATCCAATACAGAACTCATTTTTAAATCTGTATTTTTTTTTCTTCTCAGTTTTAGAATATATGGGGGTTGAAAAAATATATTATGGTTTAGGAAATATACT